AGAGCATAAAATAAAAAAAACTTAGATGAAGATTTATTAAGTAAACTAAGAAGTAAAATATGTTTGAATAATAAGGCGATATTAAGTGAAATTTTAAAGGAATGGAACATAACAAAATGTTAATAAATTAAAAATTATGCTATTGGAATGAAATGTTGATGCGAACATTATAAATATGCTTCTGGATTACTAATAAAAATTAATTGCCTATCGAATAAATCTTTATTATAATCTGCATTATTTTTGTTTCTGTAATTGTAAAAATGTATGCATTTTATATATGCATACCATTTAAAATATAATATAAAATCGTGAATATCCAATTTTCATTTTACTAATCATTTTTATATAAACAATTAATTTATAAATTTCATTGTAAATTATAAAGAAACGATTAGAAAATGCGCAGCTGCTATTGATTAGTTTGAATATTAATTGTAAAGCACACATTTTTATCGTTTTGATCAATTAATCAATTTTTAAAGTTGGTTTGGTAGTTTAATTAAAAACTATTGTGAATTTTCTAATGCTGGAGCAGGAAATTATTAGCTTTATTAGCTTTATTAGCTTTATAGTAAGCATATAATAATATGAAAAATAGTATAATTTATATCATTCGTTTAAAGATTGTAAAACAGTATTATAAATACCGAGACTTACTCGGTATTTATGTATTCGATTTAGATAAATTTCTTGTCGAGGACAATGGTTTTTCTTTAATAAATTAGACTGTATAAATTTTCATACCAAATTAACTCTCGCAAAGGTGAAAGTTTCAAATTTTAAATGCAAACATTTTAGATTATAATTGTCCTGATTTTGATTTTTAAACTTACTACAATTATGCGATAACAATATTATACTGCTGACATTCTACGTTATAAATTAGTTATAAATTAAGTTTACAATCAATGCAAATCCTACCATTGGCATCTGTATATGCGACATATGTCTTTATCCTAGATCCAGAATAATCAGTCTTAACTAGCAATCGAAATACAAAAGTAACGTGTGCTTAAATTAATGTCTATTATATATATCGAAGGAGGAAGTGGGATGGATATAATTGATGTATATATATATATATATATATATATATAAACTAATTACTTAATTGAGCTTTATAATAAATAAATAAGAACAGTATAATTAGATGCTTGGAGATTTGAATAAATTTGTCCAAAATAAATATTTGCAGTAATTTTGAAGGGGACTTGTATGGTGATGACGATATTAAACGAGGAAGTAAGGTTCTAATTAATTGGCTGTACGAAGAAAATTTCAGTTATTATTATATTAGATGAATTATACATTATGGTCATTGAGCTTATTTCCACAGTATACATAAATTCTTAATGATATTTAATCGCGTTGCAACTACATTTCGGAATTAAGATTTATGTATAATTACATAAAAATAAAATAATATCAGTCTGAGGAAAAAGCAGATAAACGCAAAAGGCTCGTTAAATAGAATTTATGCACATTCAAAACATCTTTATTTCATAATCTTCAATATATGGCCACAACACAAATACATCGACCAAATTTAATAGCCACTTACGATAATAAATAATATAATAAAAACATAATGAAATCTTAAATACAAAATGGTTTTATAAATTAATCGTATAAAAACAATAAGAAATAACTGTAAACGATATTGTACATATTATATTCTTAAACAATTGACGTAGAAAGAAAAAACACGTACAAAAAGTAAAGTATACGATGATAAAGTTATTCGGATTACATACCTGACTGACGTACGTCACAACGAGCAAATTAATGCTAATTATGAGTTTTTCATTTTTGAAGTCTGACTTACAGTCTTTATAAATTCAAGTCGGCTGGTTAATTTCAGATTTATAAACGCATTGACACTAAAAAGCGATGTTGTACAGTAGGCTTCGTTAAGGTTGTTTTTTTTTTTTTTTTTTTTTTTTTTTTTTGAATTATATATATATAAGGGAGTGCGTGCCGTTACTACAATTTAGTTTATTATAAGCAAATACGTTCCCCCTAATACAAACATAACAGAATTGCAAATTAAATATGTGAAGATTGGATGTGGAATTGTAATGTTTAAAAACGCAAATTATACAATCGATTCTCTATTTCCAAATTTGTCTCATAAGTTTGATTTTTGGCATTTTTCGATTAAAAAATTAAAGCTACGAATTACAAATTTTGTTATTATATGATGGATAATTACTTTGCAATTTTAGAGAGCATTAATAATTATTGAAAACTTTATTTTAATCATAATAGTTTAATATAATAAAATATTTTGTACTCTCTACGTCACTTTAACTTTATTTATTATTCAATTTTATAAAAAAATAATTTTTTTTCGTGCAATGGTGAATACTTGTATTAATAAATAGTCAAATTTCGATGAAAACTATTCATTATTATTAAAATTGAAAAATATAATATTTGAATATTTATCGATTGATATAAAAT